GCCAAACACAATATCTCCATTACATCTCATAGCATATAAATATTACGGTCTGCAAGTTTTAGCCCCTCTGTAACACAATGTAACGTAACATACCGTAACGCAAATCAAGTTTTGCAGTCCAAAATGTCATTTTGAAACGAAAAGTGAGGCTTAGTCCATCTCCATTACATCTCTTACCATATAAATATTGGTGTCTAGCAGTTTTAGACCCTGTAACACATTGTAACGTAACGTGGAAATCATCATCATATTTATACAGACCAAATAACATTTTTAAATGAAAGTATGACTTAGTCCATCTCCATTACATCTCTTACCATATAAATATTGGCGTCTACCAGTTTTTAGCCACGTTGCGATACAAGGTTACACATATGATCAGAAATAATACTAAAGGCTTTGCACAGATCATCCGGTCTGGGAAGGGTGAAGTGATGCTGGATGGCTTGGGCTTGGAAGGGGGGTGGGAGGGGGGGTATGGGTTTGGTGAGGGTGGATGGGGAGAGGATAAGGCCATCCCAGTACCTCGTCCATCTCACTACGCCTCAAACCGCCATGAAGGTTAGACCTTAACGAGACGGATTGCCGTTTCATTCATTCAGGAGTCATGAACATTCTGTGACATTGTCTTGCTATGATAACGCCGTTGTGTGTTACAAGGTCTGCACAGCAGTAATGGCTGTAGGAAGAAGAGGTGATGGAGATTGAGTAAACATGCATACATTTCAATGATCACAGTTAACAAGAACAATTTGTAGGTAGAGATCGCGTCTCCGTGACGATGAGAAATGTTTCCCTCTTTTAGTAAACGCTAACCTACTGACTTTGACTGAGTTTGCTAAGTGATGTGCCATGTGGTGACACTTCTCAGGTCGATGTGACGGTATGTGATCCTGGTCCGTACCACTCTAGAAGGTACTGGGGAGAGGGGTGCCCCACTCTAGAAGGTAATGGAGGGGATGGAGAGGGGGCCCCCTGATGGTATGGGAGAGGAGGGGGATGAGGGGTAGGAGTGATTGATGGTTGGCAGGTGAGGGCCTGCTGGTGAGTGCCTGCTTGTGTGAGTATGAACCTCGCCCCTCCTTAACAAATCCGCAGTGGATAGAGACCCATGCTGGAGTGTACATCTCCAGTCAACTCTGAAGACATCGAAAAACCATTAAAGCAAATGGACCACATCGCAAGAGGCTGCTCTCTCATACCCCCTCAACACTTACGGCTTCCTGTTGGGGAACTAATGGATGACAAAAAACCACAAATAGGCCCTAACCACTCTCACGCCGAGGGGGAGCTCCCCTCACCCTTCCCTCCCTCCCTCCCTCCCTCACCCCTCCTCCACCCCAAACAACATATCCGATATGTTGGCTCCCCTCACACTCAGCCTCTACATAGCTTACTTACTATCATCAAAACTATTATCTACACACAGGATTAAGTCTACAGCAAACACACATACATATTCATTTACTCTTTCCTCATATTCCACTCTTATCTTTGTATTTCTTACTCTACCACATAACCCACATACTCTCCTACACCCCCAACAACATGACCTCCCATCTTTCCTGACCACATACCCTAACACCGGACACTCACACGCGTCCGACACGCACCAAACTTCCGGGAAAATCCCCCCAAACCCTTTGCGACTAGACACCTGCCCAGCTGGCTCTATAGAGTCACCTGGGCAGATGGTGCGCGCGGTTCTAGTCGCACTTTACACTACTGGGACGGGTGAGTGAGGAATGCTTGGAAGGAAGAGGGAAGACGGGTGAGTGAGGAATGGTTGGGAGAATGAGGGGATGGGCCATGGGCAATAGTGGGGAGGACCAGGAGACAGGGAAAGGGTGCATTGGCTCAGCAACGCACATGCGTTGCTGAGCCACAGCAACGCGTGGCCAGCTAGTAAGAAATATGTGTATGAGCATACTCTGTTGGGATCAAGATGACCTAGACTCGTCGAAGTTCCTGTAGTTGAACTAATAATTATATCATTATGATCACTCATTCAGTTACTTGCCAGACCCCGCAGTGCTTAACCTGACTGATCAAGTGATGATATACATCGCTCAATATACCACGACAGGTTTTTACCGTTCGTTCACAGTCAACCTTTTAGTTAATGTCTTTTCTTTTTGGTTTTCCAAATTCAATAATGTAAAACACATGGAAACACCTTAAATAACAGGCTATGCCTATTATCTAAAATCATGTAGATACTAATTGTCTGCATTATTATAATTATAACAAAAATTTAAATAAATGTCAAAGTGAACAGATATGAGACAAAATTGCATTAAATAGATGTAATGAACAGGACGTAAAATCCAAAAGAAAAAAACAAACGTGACAAAACGTGTATTATGATGGATTTCTTTTAGCGACAGCCACACCATCTGAGGATTACATCATAGGTATAAAGTCTTACCTTCAAAATGCCACAGATGAGAATAATGCTCAATACTAGTTGAATGATGCTCGTCACTACAACAAAGATCACAATTCCATAGACTGTAACATACATGAAATAAATTAATGTCGTTTCCCTCTTAAATACATTATTGTGTTTTGTTTCAGAACACGTGAGTATATATTGTATCACATGTTATGATACATTATATCACATATTATGATACATTACAGCAACTGTAGAACGTATTGCAGCACATATTGTGAAATGGCACATATTGTAGCATATATATTGATACTTTACAGCACATATTTTGAGATGACCCATTGTAGCGCCTATTATGATACATTGCAACACATAATATGAAATGATACTTATTGCAGAACATATTATGATACAATACAACACACTGTAGCACATATTATGATACATTGCAACACATATTGTAGCACGTATTATGTTACATTACAGCACATATTATGAAACATTACTACACATATTGAAGCACATTTCTTTTATTTGAATATTGCCCCAAAATTCCCCGAGGGGCGAGGTTATTGGACACACCACCATAGCAGCATGAACAACACCCCGCAATTGGAAGAAAACCCGCTGGGTTGTTCATCCTATCACTTGTACCCAGACACAGAGCTAGGACTTGCTTAACTGTCTCAAGTGAACAGTTTATCAAACAAAAAGATTAACATTTGTAACCCCTAAAATATTACTTAATCTTGCGGATGCAAAATGGGGGAATCTTTAAAGAGCAGTATCTATATATGACAAGTTGTATTTTTCTAACTCAAATAATGTGGGGTTTATTATTCAACACATATTTCTAATTACTCTTAGATGTTCACATTCTCTCAAGTAGTAGTCAAGATGGTGTCTGTCACTCTCACCACAGATTCTGCAACTCTGCTGCTCAACTGTTGCTTCCATTCCGAATCTCCATGGATATTTGTATCCAAGACAGATTCTTGCTATTACTGATTCCCTCCTGTGGCCACCTTCTCTTAGTCCATAATGATTGGGATTGCCAGCTGCAACCATATTGTACCAGCGTATAGATTCAATGATTTGTTTTTCTATCCTTCTTTCCTCAGTTACCTTGTCACGGTGATGTTGCCTGATAATACCTCTAATTTGTAGAAGAGTCTTGGGAATGAAGTATTCAATATGGTCTCCTTCAGCGCCTTCAGCAGCCTGATTACTATAATACATCTACTATTACATCTGCTCGTCCATTTCCACAAATTCAAACATGGGAGGGGATCCACAGAAATTTGACGACGCTTCCCTGTTTGTTTAATACTCTCAGAGCTCTCATGATTTCATCGATTTTTCATTTCAAGATTTTCAGCAAGATTTTCTGTCCGATTTATACTAAGGCTTTGTAGTGCTGCGTTTGAATCAATGTAGATCACTGCACCGTTAGTGTTTCATTCAAGGAATCTGAACGCCTTGACAATAGCAGTTATCTCTGCTTGGGTTGAAGAGCTCAATACTTGCTTTTTCTTTATATCCATTGTTGAAGGGCATTATTCTTAATTACAGTGTATGCTGCACCAGCCCTGCCATTGCCAGGATTAGATGACCCATCAGTTTAGATTTTATCTAATTCATTCCGGCTTCTTCATAAATTTCCACAAATACTTGTGCCTCACTTCTTGTTATATCATGTTGGATTTTTCGTTGTCGTCTCATTGATAATAATCCTGCATGGGTCATCCTCCCAGGAAGGATAACGCTCCTTTACAGGCACGAGTTCACAGGCATGCTCAAGCAGGAGAAGTTCTTCGAGGTAGCAGTCTGATCTGTGATGCCATTTTTTTGTTTTTCCTTCTTCCTCCTGTAAGTAGCACAGAACTCTGTTTTTTCTCGGAAATATCATTGTAATGGGGATCTTTGGTTATCTTAATTGCAACCTTAGCATTCAGGTCCTTAATTCTGCTTTAAACACTGGGGAGGGACAACTTCTCTCGTAGATTGGATGTTTTGGCAGTTATTGGGACTCTAAGAATGATTGTCATGGCTTAATTTTGTATGTTTTCAAGTTTTTTCATGTTCGTTTGGAAATAAGTGCACAAAACTGGTGCGGTATAGTCTCTGACCGAGCAAAAATATGCTGTGTACATAATTTTAAGCATGGCAATAGAGGCCTCATGCCCATTCCTGTTCATAGCTTTCAGTGTCCTGAGTCGACTTTTGCATGTTCCCATGAGTTGGTTGAGTTCCCACTTCTTCCCCTTGTGAGAGCCGACAGTGACGCTAAGGTACCGATAGTGGTCAACCCGTTGAAGTGTTTCATCATTAATTTGTAGTTCTTCATTTTATCCCCGCTTGTGATGAGAGTATGCTTCTGTCTTGTTTGTGGAGAGAGTGAAACCGAGATCAACACATTTCCTTCCAAGGAGTTCACTGGACTCCTAAAAGTTTCCCCGTAGTTGGGGCTTGTTTTAGGACATCATCTGCATATCCCACTTGTTGTGTTCTTTCCGGAAATTCAATATTTGAAATGGCGTTCATAAGTATGTTGAATAGTGAGGGGGCTTAAGAACCCTCCTTTGGTCCCGAGTTCCATACTCATTGTGTTCGAGACTACTCCGTTAAAGCAGACCTTGGCTTTTCTCCCGTGGAGGTAGTCTTCAATCCATTTCATGAGTCTCCCCTTGACACCCTCGCATGCAAGATCGTCCAGGACCGCAATCCCTAGTTCTTTGTCTAAAGCTTGTTTGATGTCAATAAATACAGAGTACTTAGCTGTGTCAATAACCCTGTAATTAGTTATACAATTTGCTGTGCTCCGTCCTGTAACATATCTATTGACCCCCTACCCTAGTCTTCCTCTTTTGTCCAACAGTCGGTTTACAATGATCATTTCAAGTACCTTGCATGTGCATGACACGAGACGGATAGGTCTGTAATTGTCAGGGTCATTGGGCTTCGGTATGGGAACAATTATTGTGAGGGGCAACACTCCACTTCGGAATGATTTGTTAAACAGATGGAGTAGTGGATTCCCAACCACCTCACACAGTGCATTGAGTATGTCGTAGGTGACGCCATCTTCACCAGGTGTTATACCTTTACCCTTTCTCATAGCCCCCCCCCCTTACTTCCTGGGCCGTGATTGGTTGCCCATACTCGCCATCGTTAGACTGAGCTCTTGTTATCCTAATTCTTTTGTCATTATATTGCAGGAGCTGTTCCCTGCTTATTTCTGCAAAGAGTGAGTAGGAGGATGCATCACTCCAATTGTGTATTAGTTCCTTAGTTTTGCCCTTGGGGTCTTTGTGAGCCGTGAGCCGCAGGCCTAGTTCTGCCCCCCCTCCTCCACTTAGCTATCTGAATTTTGGCGCACACTTGCCTTGCAGATGTTTCTCTTCCAATAGACCTAGTGAAGTCAAGCCATTGTCTTTACCGCTCTTTACTTTACTCTTCCCTGGCTACTTAACACACAGTTTTAAACAGCTCTTGGTTACTAGTAGTGGGATGTCTCCGGTACTCTCTACTCATGTCCCTTACATTTGCATTGGGCATTTTCATGTAATCGTTTTCATGCCATTTTATTTTCTTCTTCTGAGGGGTACGTCGCCGAGTCGTACGGCGCGGGACTTTGAGACAGCTCTCACTTTGGTTATTAAGGTCATCAACAAATTTATCAATGTCCTCTGGGATTTAGTATTCCGTAAAACAGTCACTTATCTTGTTTATGAGGTTTGGGCCTCATATCTGGTCTGAGTGATAAACTTTTTATTTGATTTGCCTCTTTCCTTTCCTTGCTCATGTCGACGGTGGTAATCAGTGTCCAGAGGTCAATACATAAACTGTGTACAATGTGTGTTCTAGCATCCGTGTACTGTGCATTCAGCAGAAGAGCCTAGTCTAATCCCCCACTGAGGTGAGTTGGCTGTTCATCAACCTGGATCCTAACATTTTCACTTCTCTTAACATAGAGTTACAGTTTCCGTCCATTGACATTCGGCTGATGACAGTTGGCATCAAAGTGTGGGTGTCTGGCATTAAGATCACCGACCAGCAGGGAAGGTTCTTCATTAACAAATTCGTGTGTGTGTCAAGGTCAAGTTTATTCTGTATGGTATCATTATGTGTGCTGTCATGTACTGATTTGATGGTCTCATTGTGTCTGCTGTCACATACTGATATGATGGTCTCATTATGTCTGTTGGTATGCACTGATGTGATGGTATCATTGTGTCTGCTGTCATATACTGATGTGACGGTCTCATTGTGTCTGCTGCTATGCACTGATGTCATGGTATCATTGTGTCTGCTGTCATGTACTGACGTGACGGTATCATTGTGTCTGCAGGTATGCACTGATGTGATGGTATCATTGTCTCTGCTGGCATTACTGATGTGATTGTATCAGTGTCTGCAGGCATGGACTGATGTGATAGTATCATTGTGTCTGCTGGCATGAACTGATAGGATGGTATCATTGTGTCTGTTGACATTACTGATGTGATTGTATCAGTGTGTCTGCTAGCATTTGCTGATGTGATGATATCATTGTGTCTGCTGGCATGTACTGATGTGATGGTATCATTGTGTCTGCTAGCATGCACTGATGTGATGGTATCATTATGTCTGCTGGCATTACTGATGTGATTGCATCAGTATGTCTGCTGGCATGTACTGACGTGAAGGAATCATTATGTCTGCTAGCATTCATTGATGTGATGGTATCATTGTGTCTGCTGGCATTACTGATGTGATTGTATCAGTGTGTCTGCTGGCATGTACTGATATGATGATATCATTGTGTCTGCTGGCATGTACTGATGTGATGGTATCATTGTGTCTGCTAGCATGCACTGATGTGATGGTATCATTATGTCTGCTGGCATTACTGATGTGATTGCATCAGTATGTCTGCTGGCATGTACTGACGTGAATGTGGGAACCGACCTGTGAGATTTATATTTATTTAATTTATATGAATTTATATTTACGTTAATTTATATACTTCGATAGCAATTTGTATAATGATGAGTGGACTGTATTTCTGCAATAATCTCTTAATCTCACAAATCGATCCTCTACACATTAGGGGGGGTTATTAAATTAATATATA